TGAATTGCCCGCTAATGGTTGCCAGTTCCAATAAAACAAACGTTCAATGTTCACTTCCATTGACACTCCCCGGCAAAAAAGGGTCCATCCCTTTTTTCCACAGCGGCGGTAATCTTGAACTGAACTGCCAATGCGGGAACCTGGGCCAATCGGGACTAGGCTAAAATTGGAAAAGCAAGACAAAAAAGCCCAACACACAGCAAACATACCACATCACACCGACACGCTCTCCCCGGCGCATGGGGTCTACGCTCTCTGACGACAATACCACCACTGATCTCGTTCACAAAGTATCGATTGCTTCATTCCACTCTAGCCCAATCCTCTCCCCGGCGTATCCAATCGCGTACGCTGACTCTGACTCTACTCGATTCGTTCACAAGTTTAGAAGAGAATTCAGAAGTACTTACAAAAACATTACAAGATGATTCACACAATGCGACAACTATAAAATTAACCGACAATCAGATGAATCGGAACCCACTGAATTACTCAACACAAACATATGTACAATCAATACATCAAATATTGCGGATTCTGCCTTGACGAGCTACCCTTGAAGAACTGTAGGACTTACAGCAGTACGCCTACATTTCTTCTCAGGTTGACGATCCAAGTGGAAGACGTCCGGATACAGACAAAAATAATCAACAGATAGAAGAGGGATGTTACCAATTCATTATATACAACATGAACATATATACAAAATAATACACCAAGTACGATGGACTGCTCTTCGACGTACTACCCTTGAAGAATTGTAGGACTTACAGCAGTACGCCTACAACCCTTCTCAGGTTTACGCCCTTAAGTTGGAAAATCGTCGTTGAGCTCATTTGCTGACCTCCTTCCATCATCTATATCCTCGACTCTGAATGGTAACACGCCCATGACATTGTATCGTGGAAGGTAGATGACTAACAAACATACGACGTATCTGACCAACCAAGCGAATGTACACAGTAATTTGCACCAAAGATAATAACATTCAAATAGTAGTTTGAAACCTGAAATGCCTTTATTCGTGCAAGTCAGTCTAACAGTTACCACCCTGTACACAGTTGGCTTATCGTCACTAAACCGGCCATTGACTTTCGTCCCTTCGAACGGACCAACACTAGCATAGTCACTGCATAAGACACGTTGATTCATGAACGGCTCTTTTACTGCATATGACAACACCAACGACGACTGGCTGACACCAGTTGATGAACTTAGCGGTGTATCAGAAGCTGTTGTTGTCAGACCTTTAGGAGGTTGTCTAACCACAGGATTACCACCACTGCTATCTTTTATTATTGGCTCCAGTTCAGTTTTAACATCTGTCGATAGTTGGGCTACACTCGGATCACTTAAACTGACGGCCTCACGAGTATCCATATCTGCAGCAACCGCATCTGCCTTGAATTCTACTTTACGTTCAAGTTGTACAGAACCTTTAGTCAACTCAGTAGTAGAAGGCATTCCGCTAATCTCATCATGATCAGCCACAGATAAATGTGAACTACCGTGACCATTGTCACAAATACCTACTTTACCGCCGTCTGTATGATCGACTTCATCATTTTCACACTCTTTAATAACAGCCGTAGATGACTCAGGTTCTTCCTCATGAATCCTTAAAGGTGTTATTCCTTTACTCTGACTAGTAATACCTTGTAAACTTGTGGAGTCAGAACTGGACATTGAAACTGTAACCCTCTTCTTATGCCCAAACTGCGGTGTCGTCTGAGACACTCTTTTCAACAATGGATTATCAGTTACGACTACAGACTTCTTCACCGCACCATTATCGTCACACGATTCAGAGTCAGAACACGATGACGCTGACTTCACATTTAGCTTGCCACAAAACTTGCTCGTTGCTTCACAGTTCGCCTTTGCATGCACTTCTTGCAAACGGACGAAGCACAGCCGTGTTTGTCTCGCAGCTTGTAACTTATCCGTTGGGGACATCTCGCTAAAGCTGTCACAATCATTAGGTTTACTAGACACCATACAGCCTTCTCGATATCGACTACACTGAGACCCCTTCGTCATAAATGATTGCATTCTACTCTCCGATTTCTCTATTCCAGGGGAGGGATGCAGTATACTAGCAAACTTGCTCAAAGCTTGGTTGACACTGTCTTTCACCAGGCTCACAAGGTCATCCAACCTGGGCTCTAAACCTTCCTCCTCTAGACGTGAACAAACCTTTATAAACTTCCTTTGTAGACGAACAGGTAATCTCTTGGCAACAGTTTCAAGCACGGAACTTGAGTTCAATTCATCTACGCAGTTAAAAGACATGAGTGTATTTCTATATACCATCAAATTATCCAAGAACTCTGCAAGTTCCTCTGGATTATCATTCAACTGTGACCCGTTACCTTTCACCGTCTCGAAAATACTACGGGATATCATATATGGTTTTCCAAACCTCTGATGGAGTATCTTCATGGCCTCATCATATCCTTCGTTCGGGGGCATAAACTTACAGCACTGTATGGCTCTTGCAGCTACACCAGTGCAATATCTCAACAAATACATTAACTTCATTTCATCATTCAATACAAAACCACTCAGCATGACCTCAAACTCTTTAATGAACTGTGGGTAGTCGGCTGGGTTTCCATCGAAGTATCTCGGTTCAAACTTAGGCAGTCTTAAACCCTTACTGTCACTTAACGGTGAGGCATGAACACCAAACTTAACATGCTGAGCATCATACATATCATTACAATTAACAGGCAACTCATCGTGACTTACTTTTTTGTCTGCTTCCATTGTGCCATGTCCCTTTCTTGACCCAGGCATTATCCGTCACCAAAGAATCCAAATTGCGTTGATAATCCTTGTCCAAAGAGAAGCTGGCTGCAGATCTAGTAAGTACACCCAGACGATATCCAGAAGGCGCCAACGAAGACTTGGAGAAGAATAAAAACTATCAAGGAACTTAGCCCTAAGTTCCTATCGTAATGAAGACTTAAGCGATTGAGCCGATAAATACTATGCGCTTTCTTCAACTTTAAATCCAAAACACCAGTATTCCTCGAACGAAATTATATTGTTTGGCAATTAAATTGAAGAAAACTACAAAGTCTGCAAACAAATGTTAAGTACAAATGAAGTTATAAAGTACTTTTATTCGTATTTAAATCCAGTCTTCGTTCAACTTGCAAGCGATCGTTCCATTCGCGCCTTGAATTGCCCGCTAATGGTTGCCAGTTCCAATAAAACAAACGTTCAATGTTCACTTCCATTGACATCTACTTTCAATGATATATTATCCATAATTTTATTTTGTACCATTTCGCAGTTTAGCAGGATGTTCTCTTCCTGAAATAGCGTTCAATCACGTGGTGGCATAGCACCTACCCCAACATACGCTGTTCATTGGTTGACCATGACTATCAGCAGGAAACGGGACGAAGTTTTGGTCGTCACTCAACTTTGACGGTGGCCTTAGTAAAGGCTTTACAATTTAACATTTATAAGAACCTGTTCTGATTGCTTGTACAATAACGGAGCAACCTAAAATTTTGAAAAAGTATTAACTTATGATACTCCAGGATTGTAATTTGTAACATAAGTGATTGTGACTGTAAAAATGGCATGCATTTATTGTAAACACCAGTTTACATGGAACATAAATTGTTGTTATTAATATGTATTTTATGTATATATATATATGGACAATAGTACTCATTACTGCAGCTGCAGACCTTCTAAAGAGTTTCATTTTGCAGGGGAGGAAATTCATTCTTGCTTCTTCTTGCCAACCATTTCTGAAGTAACTACATCAGTTCATCTGTGTGGAAGGGTGAGGTTCTCCAAAGATGCTGAGTCTTAATTTGGCGATTCCTTTATTGAGGTTTTAACTTCCGTGGAGATTTTAGTTCACTTTGATGTAGGTTTCGCTACGAGATTCTTTGAAAGTCAGGAGGCCCTGAACAGAAATTTCACCGTTATATAGGATTCCTCTGTGGTACCTGTCAATGATTGCACTAGTGGTGTAACTCAAAACTTTCAAGTTATCAAAAAGCCCCGCTGGCTGTCATGTCGGCGGACTGAAATCCAATGACCCACATGTTTTAAAACCCCTCACTTGGCGAAACATGGCGCTTCCACTAGCCAGTGCTACTGGCGTGTAATTACCAATGGGGGGATCCCGAAATAGGACAGAATAGCTCTCCAGTGTTCCGTGGTTTTCAACGATTTTCCAACTGATGTCGATTCTCGACGAAATCTATATAGAGGTTCGCTTGTCGTTTTCCATTTCCTTTTAATGTTATTTTGAAATTGTAAACTGTAAAGAGAAAACAGGTGAGAAAATTCTTGTCAAGGATACATTATCACTTGGCATTTCCTTCTGGTCCCCGAACATGTCCATTGAGGGAAGCTGATTCAATAAGGACATTTTCTACAAAGGGGTGGGCATCTTCGTTAAAAGTCTGTGAACCTGTCTTTGCGATTTCAGCAACTACCACCAAACAGATATCTTAAATTCTCAGGTCGTTTTGATAATGATCTGTGATTTCTTGAAATTACGGACCTTAAAAGGGATTTATGCCTTCAAAGACATACTCAATGATGGCGTCATTATAGAATGATTCCATGATAATAATTATTTACTCAATCACGACTGGCAGTTTGTGAGGACATAGATCTTCTGACAATTTATTCAAATCAGGGGGTCCATCCTAAGAGGAATACCTGCCTAGTGGACTTCACGTGAAGAATATCATCACTGGGAACAGATGCTGTGTGATTTCCATTGGATAGATGAAATTTATTAAAGGGGCTCCAAGTATAACTTCGACTTTTCTTAACCTCGATTTCTGGTCATTTTTTTCGGTGGTTTCATATTCGCCTGCGAGCAAGACTATGGTTTAAAGTCATATAGGAAATCAAAAAGTTCACTAACCTTATCATACGGCCTTCACAATTTTCTTTTGTTTGTATTCGTTCGTATATAGGGGCGCTTGTTTTGTACCTGGATTTCCTTTGTTATAATTATGAAATTCCAGTACAAAGAGGACCGTCCGTTTGAGAAGCGTCTAGAAGAGGGGCAAAACATCCGCAAGAAATACCCTGGAAGTGTCCCAGTAGGTCTTTTTAATCGGGTGAAATTTGTTTGTTATGTATTATCTGAAATTCATGCACTTTGTGTAACAGTGCATAACCTTAGGGGGTGTTTTTATGCTGAATCCCACTTAACTTCTGAATTTCTTTTCAACTGTTGTCTTCTGGTTGGCAGGAATATTTTCCGTCTACGGTGAAAACTGCTTGTTGTATATCTAGTTCACCATGGTGTACTTTTTCAAGAAACCACGAAGCTTAGTATTTGTATTTGTTGGTTTGGCCACTCTTCCTTCATTCATTTTGTTCTTAAGGCGGAACATGACTAAACATTGGAAAATGAGTGCACAGAACGAACTTTGTAGTCCAGGGGGAGTTACTATTCATTTCGAAGTATCAAACGTTTTCAGGTAACATAAAATCACTATTCCCGTAGAATCTGAGTGGAACACATTAGGCAACATTTGAGATGAACCATAGTATTATGAGTGCCTAGGTTTGGTTTCTGTGTCTTGTAATAAACTAGTGATAGAATAGATCAGTTTCATTTTCCAGCTCCATAGTTGGAGTAGAGTTATGCAGTGCAAGAATGTTCTGATAGGGTTACTATGGTTTCTTGACTACTACACTAATAAAATTGTCTGGTCTTTTTATAGGGCACTGTTATACGAAAAAATCAATGGAGATTAGCGATAAACAGAAATTACTTTGTCAACTGCAGTTGGACTATATGAGCAGGGATGTTAAAAGACATAGTGACGAGGAAAGCAAACTAGAGAGTAGTCATCTACTAAAGTGATCGATTCATACTAGGCATGATGAATCGCCTTCCTCCATAAGCAGATCTAACTGAAGTGGGATCGCATTGCCAGAAATATGTGGTCAGACATGACATAAGTCGCTGAAATCTGTGGCTGTTGGTTTGAACCATACAGAAATCTGTCTTCCAGCTGGATAGGCAAGAATCAGTGACTAGAGGTTAAGACACTGTCTCCTACTCTCCATCAGAACATTTTTATTGGTCTTCATTCAAATGTCCTCTCACTTAGAATGGATATTTGTCCTTTACAGTGTTATTCTGTCTACTACTGCGTTTGCTTTTGAGATGTGGCAAATTAAACTGATGCTTTCTCATATGCAGTTTTCTGTTAACCTGTCATTCAACTAAAAGACAGTTATTTACACACTCCGAGTTAATATTACTGCATTTCGTTGTCAGTCTAGCCTCACGAAGCCTTCCCAGTTAAACCTTTCTTGAGTGATTTGCTTGTCTTTAATAACAGCTGAAGGTACCAGGACGATCACTAAGGTCGATATGCATTTTACGGAGAGTAGGAAAGAATTACCAATTTGCAAGGACATAAGGGCGTGTTAAGTAATCACGTAGTCTCGATTCACATTACTTTGCCTTACAAATATTGAAAGTCTTATATGACGCTGGCATAAAATCTGATTTCTGGCTGCTTTTGACTTTTATTAGTCACTTTTCTAAAAGACTAAAGGAAGCTGTCTTCATCGTTGGTATTACTTGTTTAAAAAATCCACTCGTCCTTTAAATTTCTGTGTGAAACTTTGGCTTATTGATCTTAGTGTTTGATTTTCACCTACTAACCCGCGGGGTCGAATTCCTTCATCTACCATGGTCTAGGCACACAGCTAGTATCATCAACCGTGAGAATAGATTTGGTTCGTTGTCCGATGCATGGAATCGCAAGTTGTTGTTGAGTTACTGAATAATTAGAACTCATATTTCTGTGTCACAGTCTTACTGATGGTCCCACACAGTTCAGACTTGGTGTTCACCATAATGTTGCTAATGATTGATTCTTTGAGCCACGTAGGGAGGTGTAGGCTGCCTGACTGGTTTATTTTACTACACAGTTTGCAAGAAATAGAAGGCAATGATTTCCTTCGTAGGCTATTTAGCTACACTGTTTACTTGCCATTTGTGTGGAAGGTGGATTATTTACCGATTCTATCCTCTTGCGTCTTTGAAACTATCAAGAATCAATGAAAGTTACTACCTGATTTGTAATAATTACTCTATTTTGTATGTTGTCATACCCCTGTATAACGTAATCAAAGCTGATGCTTTGTTAGCTGATATTTTGAGACTTTTTCTAAGTTACTGAATGTTGCAGCTGACAATGTACATAATACCCGTTAATAGGCATCGTTATATTTCGTCGAAGTTATTTCGGTGATATTAGTAAATTATTTTTCATTCATGTAATTTTCTTTGATTAATTCTAGGTTATTGTTGAAAGGTCACCTCGTGCACGTGTCGGAAATCTGGACAAAAACAAATACTTGGTCCCTTCAGATCTAACTGTTGGGCAGTTTTATTTTCTTATTCGTAAAAGAATCCAATTAAATCCAGAGGAAGCGCTTTTCTTCTTTGTCGAAGATATTATTCCTCCAACCAGTGCTACAATGGGTGCTCTATATGAGGTAATAAATACTGGTATACTACTCTATACGATTGTGTTTTTTTGGACTAATTTAGTTTCATATGGTACTAAGTTTTTTTTGGTGTTAGTTGATAAGAAACTTAAGATTTGAGTTTACAGTTCTTTCTTGCTGGTAACCTTCGGTAAGAATCGTGAATATGAGCTTGCTTGTATTGCTTTAGTTAATTGAATGTTGTTTTTGTAAAACTCAATTCAAAAGTATTAGTGTTAGGCTTTTCAAAATGCCACTGACTCTCTGTGAGGCTTGAATGTATGAAACGTCTTTTCGTGGAACGGTCAGTAGTAGTTTCTCTCGTTATTAATAAAAGCGAATGATATAGTTTCCCCTCCTAGTTGAAGCAATCTGCGAATGTTCGGCATGCCATTCGCTCCCGTCAAATGTAAGATGATTCTGCAGGACTGAACTACAATGACTCCTAGCTTAGTGATAGGGAGTGAAGTGATAGAACATGTTGACCACTTCACCTATTTGGGAAGTTGTATCAGCACCAACGGACTGATTGGCGACGAAATCTCAGCACGGATCCAAAAAGCTCGGGCTGCTTTCGCTAACCTACACCGTCTCTGGCGTAGGCATGACATCCGGCTATCAACCAAGGGACGTGTGTACTGCTCAGCAGTTCTCTCCGTCCTTCTCTATGGCTTTGAAACATGGCCAGTACGAGTTGAAGACATGAGAAGGTTGACTGTTTTTGATCATACATGTCTACGATCTCTTTCTCACGTTAGGTGGTATAATAAGGTAAGTATTGTTGACATCAGGTGTAGTGTTGGGCAAAGAGGGAAAATCAATCGAAGAGGCTATAAAGTTACATAGATTGAGATGGCTAGGTCACGTGCTGCGCATGCATAACCATCGACTCCACCAACAGGCATTACTAGCTGATATAGGTGCAGGTTGGAAAAGAGTAAGTGGTGGCCAAACAAAAACATGGCCTCATCAATCTACGAAATCCTTGACAGTTAAACTGAGTCAGGTAGGGAGATGCAGACTTCCGGGTTGGGGCCCTCGGGACTCTAAGAATCAATGGCTGGAGACAATAGGTGACATGGCTCAAAGTCGTTGCCAGTGGCGCAGATGTATTGAGTCTCTGTAATCTTTCATATTCCTTTCTACCATTACTCATTCTGTTTCACTCTTATACTTGTCAAAACTCTATTGATTCTCTTCACTCATCTTCTTGTCCACCTTTGTGTGTTATTTGGAACGTGGCAAGTCGAATTGCTGCACTTCGGTGCCAAGTTCTATGTTGAATCCAGACAGAGACAGACATCGCCTTCTTCGACAACGGGAAATGTCAGCTGACATAGGATCAGTTTGGAAAAGAGCTAGTTAGTGGTGGCGAAACGAAGACATGGCTTCATGTGTCAATGTAATCCATAACAGTTAGTTTAAGCCAATCAGCCATCAATGTAGGGAGGTGTAGATATCCTGTTTGCGGTCCTCGGGATGGCGCGAATCAATGATGGCTGGATACAATTGGTGATATGGCTGAAAATCGTCGTTCGTAGCGATGTATTTACCCTTTGTGATTTCTAATATCCAGTAAGACTCTATTGTTCTTCCATTTTAATTTTGGTTTTCCGTCACCCTTTTGTTTATTATCTCTGTGTTTCGAACCTCTCTTCACTCTGTTCTGTTGGTTTGTGTGCTCCAAGGATGGAATGTGGCAATTTGTTCATTTGTGTGCAAAGTTCTCTGGTGAAATCGATCAGTCAGAGTCTTAGAAGATAGGAGTTCTTGGGACAGTTAGTTTTTTTGTGTTTGTAACAACCAAACAGTACTTCCCTAATGGGGTATATATTTGGTATATTCACAACGTAACGTAGAATGAATGAACATAATTGCAGGATAATACAAGTTCGTCTCATTTCGTGGATTCTCTTCAATTGCTTACATCCTAAATAAATCAGTTAGAAGTTACAAAATTTCTAAACATACTTTTTTATATTTTTTAATGATTTCAAGTTATAAACAGAAAGTACAAGCGACATAATTTCAAAGATGGTGTAAGCAGACGAATTATTCAGGGTTAAAAAGAGTAACTATTTATAGCATAATTAGACAAGCGGGTAGAGTTCAGATTTTCGCTTAGAAACAATGATGGACTAGAGACAGAAGAGTGGTGGTGGGGTGAATATAGTGAATTAAAATTATTAGATAGAGAAAATAATTTAATTTTAGTAGGTTTGGAAACTTAATAGTGAGTTGAACTCAGTGAGTGAAAATCAAAATCAAGATTGAGGGGGGGGAATGTTATGCAAGAGAACAAAACACAAAAGCACACGAACAAGACAATCGCAGGTTACCAGGTAGCAGCAGGTAGTAGTGAGAGATTAGTCACGCTGTCTTTCTTTCTGTATACAGCGAATGGATCGAAGTCTTTTTTCGATGGCGATGGCCTCTACGCGCTGAAGTAACCATGCTTTTGCTTTGTGTACTTTATGAAATTTTTTTTATTCCTTCACTTTCCCAGTGGAACACATAGGGCTTCAAGGTAGAGGCTTGAAGTTTCTATAGCAGTTTTTATTTTTACAGGATGGGGTTGCTAGCCACATGCCCAACCTTTCCTCTTCACTAGCTTTTAGTTGTGGTTTAGCGAGGTAAAGGAGTGCGTCTGTGGCCGGGTTCGAACCCCTGACCATGTGTATGGTCGGCGGGCGTCCTAACCGCTATACCACCGATTGCACACTTTATGAAATAATGCTACTATAATGCCACGTTCACAAGATACCCCTTCCCCCGCCCTTGAATGTTCTTAATTAAAAAAAATCTTTCTAATTGTTTTACAGGAGCATCATGATCGTGACCTCTTCCTATACATCGCATACAGTGATGAAAGCATATATGGAGCGGAGGCAGGCGAAGGCTTGTTGTCGTCTTCATGAAGAAAGGAGCAACAGCAGCAGCAGCAGTTGGTCTCACTCACTCAGTTTGTTTGTTGTTGTTTTCTTGTCTTCAGTAATATGGGGATATATCGGATCACTATTTGTATCATTTTATTGATTTTTTTTCAGATACACTGCTTCTTCTTCTTCCATTATCCCTCTTTCACTCACTCACATACGTACATAAATATATACATACATACTTATATATACATAATATTCAGTCATATCTTCAGTGTGTGTGTGTCTGATGTTTGACAAGATATCTCACAGTGATTTATTGATCATGTGTATTTCAGCATTATTTGTATGATTTTTGCTAAGTGTGTGGGGAAGCAAGCCACCTAACCACCAACTAATCTGTGGTTCCGCATATTGTGATGAAGCATTATTATATATTATTATTATTTAATATTATGAAGAAGGCTGTTCATCGTCATTATTTCAGTAACTTTGCCGAAAAACAAAAATCAACCAATAAATATAATAACTAGTAAACCTACAGATTGGTTCTCTGTTTTCTTTTTTTCGGTTTGTTTGTGGCTACGGAATAATCAATATTATTATTATTACTATCTTATTGTAACCTTGGAACAGAGGGTATTCAACAACATATCTCCACTTTGTTCTCTATTTTTTTGATGTTCTGATGGCTAGTCCTACGATTGCCTATTATCTCTCATCTCCTCTATGCAGGTAGGCTTTGTGTGCTTTTGGTAGTGTGTGGGCGGTTGTTACTTCCCGGCTGCCCACACCGTGGAAGTTGGTTGAGTCTTCGGGTACCTGAAATAGAGAAAAGGTTAGTGTTGCGTGACCGCAGAGTCCGGGGGACAACTGCTTGAGGCCGGTCACACGCGGCCTGTTTTTGTTTGTTCTTTTTTGTTTGGTGTGTCTCAGTAGCATATTTATCACTTTTGCCCTGTGACACGGCAGTAGGAAGCGCGGTCGTTGTTAATCCGGGCCCCGACCGATCCGGCATGATATTTTGTGAATTTGTTTGAATCATAGTATTGGAATGGGTAGCTGCTTTTTGTCTAACCGCTATCCAAACAACCTTTCTGGCATGGTAGGACCTACAGTTCCAGCCAGTGTAGCTCGTTGGGTCATTGCGATATGCAAGCCCGACCACCACGTCAAGGTAGCAGCTATCGGTCGGGCTCCTCTATACAACTCTCGGACAAACGCCCAACTTGCCCCTGTTTGAGCGATGGTGGCCTGTATTAAGCGCGATGTTTTTCGAAAGTCTACTCAGTGGCGTGTGTGTGCCCAATCCATTTCCATTTTCTCATAAACGCATTTGTTGAGTAGTGATAGGTTGTGTTGGTTACGTAGTTCCGATAGTTTTTTTTCTTGCTAATTCTTTCTGGTCAACCACCGGCCTTTCGATTTTCACTATATAGAGCCAGTGAATTAGGCAACTGATGGATGATAAAAGTCTGCAGGAGGCTTTGGGAAATGCCAGCCGTGATGCACGCTGGCCAAGTTTCTTATCCTTGTGTGGATGAACTGACTGACTGATTGACCGACTCGACATTTGTGTTGAAAATATCAATCACTGTTTTTTTTACTAAGGTGTGGAGTGCAGATGATTTCCAAACTGATTTCAGGCTGATGAAGGTGTATGTTGCCTTTCCGATTGAAACTGGCTGGTGTTGACATGTTCATCCGTGTCATGTACCGCTTGTGGTTGAGAGGATTCGTCCTGTTGATAATGATTGGTGCTGTTTGTTGTTGTTGCTATTGGTTGGTTATCTTCATGACCTACTTCTTCTCTTTTTGTTCACTTGGAGTGTAATCTTCTGTCCCAGTGTCTTCCACCAGTTTCTTGGTTTTCACCTTCAAGTCTTCGAGTGTGTGTGTGACATTGAACATAAATCATCCATGCGGGAAATATCGAGATCTTCGAGGGTCTTCTTATCGATCAGTGCAGCGTATTTGTATCTTATCACTCCGCACACACTTCCGCATAATTCAGTCCGCCAGAATTATGAATGTTATTGTGGGTGATAATAGGCAGTCTTGTCCTGCTCGTGTATTCACTTGCGTCGGTGGCACAGTGGTTAGGACTCTCGCCGACCATGCACATGGTCCGGGGTTCGAACCCCTGCCGGCGCACACCCGATATCTATGGTATGCCTGAATTTGGGCAACCGATATCCATGCTGAAAGTTCCACACTTGTACTGAAAATACGGTGTGGAAATCAAGCTGTAAATCAAAAAAAAAAAGTTTCGCTGGATTTTTCCGTTTTAGATCAACAGCTGTTGAATGAGGTTGATTAAGATTTAGGGCACTGCACGCCATAGTGTTAAGCTAATCCACTTCTAATCCTTAACATTATCCATTTTCATGTTAAAATCAGGTGTTTTATGTATGATGATAGTATTCATTGTATTATTATTATTGTTCCCTTGGGTTCCTAGTGGAATATAGGACTTCAACTGCACGTCTCCACTTGTTTCTGTCTTCTGCTGTACTTTTCACCTGTATCCATGTTAATCCATACTGTTTCAATTCCTCTTCACACGATCTCCTCCATGTCACCCTTGGACATCTCACTCGCCTTTTTCCTTTCGGGTTCCACTCGACCACTCGCCTGACGCGCGATGTCACCCAGCGGCCTCCTCAGCGAGTGTCCAATCCATCTCCACTTTCTCCTGCATATTTGTTGAGCGATTGGTTCTTGTTTTGTTTGTTCCCATAGTTTCTTGTTGGTGATGCTTTCCGGCCATCTGATATTCAGTATAGAGCGAAGACAGTTGTTGTTGATAAAGGTCTGCAACAGGCTGTTGGAAATATTCTTTATGACACACTGGCCAAGTTTCTGATCCGTATAGAAGAACTGACTGACTTGACGTTTGTACTGAAAATCCGAATCACTTTGTTGTTGATGCAGGCTGAGTGACGAAGATTTCGAGATTGGTTTCAGGTTGATGGATGTGTTTCTCGCCTTCCCGATTCTCTCTCGATTTGACATCTTCGTCCGTTCCTCGTGTAGTTGAGACGATACCCAAAATCAAATTATACATTTAACGACCGTGTTATTACTGTTTTACCACCAAAACTATTTTGTTACGACAATTTCTTCCATTCAGTAAAATTTTGTAGTTTCTGTTCCGTTGTTCCGTTTAATGATTCATATTTCGATTGGATTTGTTTGTCTTTGTCATTTTTGGCATCTTTTGATAATTTTGGTAGGAGAAAAAAACACACATTGGAACTGACCCCTTCTACTTTGCATATTGTATTTAGGCAGTAGGAAAATGCGAAAGGAGACGGTGGGAGGAAAGCTGTACTATGGCAGCAGAGTATGTCTGTCTGTATACGACATAGAACTTTGCACATATGTGCGGCAGTTCAAGTCGCCACACTCCCTCCTAGTAGCACACAAAGGAAGAGAAGAAAGTAGGAGAAATGCATTATATAGACAGTAAACAGAGGTGTGAGACAAGGGTATAGTAATAACGAAGAACCAAACAGTTTAATTGGAAATCATAAGTCACAAGGAGTGGATGCATCTGCGCCAGCCACTGAGAACGATTTTGAGCCATGTCATCAATTGTTTCCAACCATTGGTTTTTACCGTCCCGAGCACCCCAACCAGGAAGTCTACGTCTCCCTACGTGGCTGGCTTAAACTAACTTGTAGATTTCATTGACTGGTGAAGGCATGTTTTGGTTTGACCGCCGCTAGCTCTTTTCCAGCCTGATCCTATGTCAGCTAACATTGCCCATCGAAGAAGCTGATGGCTAGAGATGTATGCGTAATACATGTCCTAACCATTTCAATGGATATGACTTCACAGCCTCATCAATTGATTTCCCCTCCTTCTCTAGCACTCGACGCCTAACGTCAGTATTGCTCACTTTATCATTCCACTTCACACGGGAGATAGAACGCAGGCACTTATGATCAAACGCAGCTAATCTTTTCATGTCTTGTTTTTCTAAAGTGCATTCCTATGAGTCCTGCATCGCTGAGTCCTTTTATTTTCAAATTTATCTTACTATAATTAGTGAATTTGAAATGTGTCGCGATTGTTATTATTATAGGAAAGTTCTAACCTTATCAGATGGATGATTTGTCTAACAGCGTGTACCCAACTTTCACGGTGACTGTATTTAACACGAGGGAATATATCATAAAAGAGCCACTAGTGTAGAATGATCATGCGTAAATTAAGTGATTGCTCGAGCGGAACAAACAAGAGAAAATGTGGCAAGTTTTACAACAGATGTATGTAGAGTGTGTATTGATCATATCTTCACTCTCTCTGACAGATTCTGGAATATAGGCACATTTACCAGTGTCCTACCGTTGTCATATTTCTTGACCTGAAATCGGCATTTGACTCTGTCGACCGAGAGGTACCATGGAAATGTTCACCAGTGAAAGGAGTGACGACGACATATATATCACACCAATCAAGGTACTCTGCTACAACTCACGCAGCCAAATGAGAGCCTACGGAGACAACCAGTGGTGTCCGTCAAGGATGGCCACAGTCCTCGTTTCTGTTTCATTTCATCATAGATGTACTAATGGACTTAACCCTAACTGACTTCAATGACTCAGTGATTGACTTGTTATCAGGGGATAATCTTGTTGACTTAAAATATGCAGATGATGTAGTCCGACTGCCTGAAGATGCTGATAAAATGTAGAGTGTTCTGAACACCTTTAGGAGCAACAATCTTCGGATATTTGACATGCGATTCACTCCCGTCAAATGTAAGATGATTCTGCAGGACTGGACTACAATGACTCCTAGCTTGAAGATAGGGAGTGAAATGGTAGAGTGTGTTGACCACTTTACTTATTTGAGAAGTTGCATCAGCCCCAGCGGGTTGATCGTTGATGCAATCTCAGCAAGGATACAGAAGGCTCGTTTGGCCTATGCCAGCTTACCCCACCTCTAGCTTAGTAGACGTGATATCCGGCTATTGATCAGAGAGCGTGTTTACTGCTCAGCACTTCGCTGCGTCCTGCTATGTGTCCGTGAGACATGGTCATTGAAATTGGAAGACATGAAGATGCTGGGTAGCTGTCTTTGAATATAGGTGTTTGCATCTTGTCTCGCGTGTTAGGTAGTAGGTGTAATAGGGTGAATAATACTGAGGTTAGGCATCAGTCGAGTGCCATATGAGGAGAGAAAATCAATCGACGAGGTTTTAGAGTTACATCGATTGAGTGAGTTGGTTAGGATAAGTGTAGTGCCTAGCCATCGCCTTCCCCGAAAACAGGGAATGTTAGCAGCAACGGGATCAGGTTGTAAAAGACCTATTGATGGTCAAAAGAAAATATGACTTCATGTGTGAATGAAATGCATAACAGTTAGTTTGAGTCAGTCAATCACGTCTGGAGGTGTTGAGTTTTTGGTTGGTTGTCGTCCTGGGGATGGTAAGAACCAATGAAAGGTGGAGATAATTCATGACATGACTGGAAATCGTCGTTCTGAATGGCTGACGAAGCTGTATAAACTCCTCTATGTGATTTAACACATGCAATAAAACTCAGTTGTTTTTCCATATTACTAATATTTTCCCTGATACACTTTTGTTTATTATCACTGTGTGCGTGTGTGTTTTGAACATTTCTTTATTCTCTTCTGTTGGTTTGTATGCAACATGTAGGTATTTATTATTATTATTGTTCCCTTGGGTTCCTAGTGGAATATAGGGCTTCAACTGCACGTCTCCACTTGTTTCTGTCTTCTGCTGTACTTTTCACCTGCATCCATGTTAATCCATACTGTTTCAATTCCTCTTCACACGATCTCCTCCATGTCACCCTTGGACATCTCACTCGCCTTTTTCCTTTCGGGTTCCACTCGACCACTCGCCTGACGCGCGATGTCACCCAGCGGCCTCCTCAGCGAGTGTCCAATCCATCTCCACTTTCTCCTGCATATTTGTTGAGCGATTGGTTCTTGTTTTGTTTGTTCCCATAGTTTCTTGTT